GTGCACTTATTGGAGGTTGTAATGGTTCTAAACTCTCCTTCTATATAAGAGAAAAATGATTTAAATTATTTTAGAATATTTTAATTAATAATTTTGAACCAATTAATAAATATATATTATATACCTCAAGTGGATAAGTCATATCCGAATCAAATCCACTATTTTTGAATTATACAAATGAATTTAGCGAAATTTATTAAGATTTCTTATTGGAAAACGATGACATGAATTTGTTACCTTAGATCACCGCATGCGATAAACGGAACTATCACGCGATTTGGTCCTAAGAGTTCATTTTGTTTTCCTATATTATTATTTAAAAAAAAAATAAATAAATAAATAAAATAAAACGCGTTAATTAATAATGTAAAATGAAGGAAATTACAACGCGTTATAAATGAATACTAACCATAGGATAAATCGAGTAAAGGATTGATCATTGTTGGAACATAATCTTTTGGAGGAGTATAATTTTGACATACGATAAACGCTTCTGGAAGATTAAATCAATCATACGAGTTATTATTAACATTTTTGAAATTTTTTTTTTTTTTGACAAAGCATAATAAAAAAATGATACCTATGCTTGAATTTCTTGAGCTTCTAGGCTTACTACAAGTGACGGTTGGAAAGAAAATTTTAAGTTGAGAGTATAATAAAGTGACATCTTTACCACGAAAAATCTTTGCTATAAAAGTTCCCCCTGGATGTAAGATATGCGTCGTAATATTTAATGCTGATAGCAATAATTGTGCTTGAATATATTCATCCATATCATGAAGTCCAGTTACTATTTGTACATAGCAGTTAATATTGGTAAGTAAATTTAATGTATTGAAATTGGAGCTTTTTTTCTCGATTAGATACCATCCGGTGCGCCATCGCATACTACGAGATCTGCTAATTCTCCTTCAAAATACGAAATAATTTGTTCTGCTGTTGATAATTTGGTGATATCGCCTTGAATTTGGATAACTCCTTCAAGAGGTGCCTCAATGAAGATTTAATTTATCTAAGTCATGGCTTAAATAGAAAGATTTGGATGTTTGTAATATTTACCATTGCTTGTAAGTCAACTGCAACAATTTTTGGAAGTGGTGAATCCTTAGAATTATTTTCACTATGAAATCAGAATTGTAATTAAATAACTTTCTTTAATGATATGAAAATAATCTAATGTCAAATCTTACCTTAATTTTTTTGTCAAAACTTGAGACCAACTACCAGGAGCAGCACATAAGTCAACTGCCCGTTGAACTCCTATACGAAAAATTTAAATACCAAAACTAAATTTTATATGGCAAAAAAATAAAAAAATTTTGACTTTTATTCACCTTCAAAAATATTAAATTCTTCATCAATTTGAAGTAATTTGAAGGCGCTTCTGGCTCTCCAACCTTGTTCTTTTGCTAATCTATAATAAATATCTCGTTTGTCTTTTGACGATTTTCCCATTTTTAAAAAAATATTTTTGAATCTGTGATCATTTTTCCGATTAATAGATCGTGTAACATTCGCAAATCTGAGATTAAAAAATCACCCAATAACGATTATGAGAGAAATTAAAGGAAAAAAAGAAATAAATATAACAAGTAAATTAGAAAATATTGAAGTAGAGAAAGATAATAATGATCAATTTAATAATTTTTTTGTAGATGATTTTGATGTAAATGAATTATATAAAAGCGATAATAATGAATAAAAAAACGTTTTATAAGTTTTATATATTATGTAATTTAAATTTCTTAATCTTGACCAAAGTTAAGTTAATGCCAGCCCGGGGGGTACAGGATAACCCTCCCGGTCTAGGATAAAAATCTACACCCGGGGTACACGTTAAGGATCTCTATGCTGTAAATCATATGATCCGTAATTTTAATAACTTGCCTCAATATCAATGATCTGCAAGTGAAATTTTACGAAATGAACGAAATTAAAAACCAATTAAATATTGCAGTTAAAAAATTAGGAGAGGCCGAGAAAGAGTTGAAAAAATTAGCGAATCTGAAGAATTAATTGAGGAAGTTGAATAATAAATTAAGAAAAGAAAAAAATAGGAAGAAAAGAGAATTTTGAAGGAGAATAAAAATGATTTGGAGGCTGAAATAAAATATTTAGAGGAAGAGAAAGGTACATTTCAGAAGGTAGCAGAAGTATGGAATGATATGCCTAAGGTAAATCAGTATGTTGAATTCTGTTCTGTAATGATATGGTAAATTACTGTATTGTAATATTGGTCAAGATAATTTTTTTGCCTACTTTGTTTATTATCAAATGCAAGAAATAAAAATCCTTCAGGTAATGGTTCTTCTTGCTTTGATAATTCTTTCAACCATTTTTGAAATTAAAAGTAACTTCCTGAACTTGTAATATGATTATCAATATTGATAATTATCTTTGATCATATTATTGAATACTTAATAGCTAAAAGGGCAAGTTGGATTTCTGAAATATATTTTTCATGTTATGCATCATATATTGAATCAATTGCAACAGCAGTTTTAAAAAGTTTTTCTTGACTTAAAGTATTAGTACTTTGAATATTTTGAACCAAAGTTTTGATAAATGTTATAATAACTTTATCACACTTATTGAGCTATTCACAAAAATTATATATTACAAAATTTTTTATAGAAAATCTATTGCTATCTTAAATCAGTAATTCTAAATCATCAAATAATGATATGTGTTTTGCATTTGCTATCTCAATAATTATATTGACATATTTTTACTGATTAGTAAATCTTAAATTCATTGTCTAATAAAAATTTTATTATTTTTACATTATTCATCATATAAGTTTTGCATTTTATTTATATTGTTATAAAGCTCACTATAATTGTTTTTTCAATTCTACTATTTTATTTTTGATTTTTATATAATTTTGCATTTATACAATTTGATTATAAGTCTGTTATCAATAGCTAACTTTCTATTTGTATAGATTTTAAACATCATTTAGCTTCATTAAGATCTACAATTAAATCAATATAACTAGTTAAATTACCCTCAAATCGAAGCCTTTTATTTTTTTTAAATAAAATAATAATAAAATCAATTAATAATAATAGTTTAATTATCGTGTCTTTCACAAATTAAATAAATATTCAAAAAAGTATGACAATTAGCAAATTTGGAAATAAGTATAATATTATAAAAGTTTCTTAGCTGTATTTTCATTACTAGTATATCTTTATTTTTGTGATTCTTTAGTTTCACAAGATTTTAAGCTAATTTTATTATATTTTTTAACTAGATCTACAAAAATATATTGAAGTTCTCTTACTTTAAATCTCAGATAAGTGAATACTAAAAAAATTAGTCTAATTAATAAAATTTATTCTAAATAATACATATAAGATAAATACTTGTGTTTGAATCTCTAATTCTAATTTCTACTCTATTAATTATTTATAGTCATATAAAATACTTAATTTAAACTTTCATTTATTTTAATAAATAAACTTAACTATAAGGGATTTTTTATGATTATGAAAATTAGGCATCTTATTCTATCTGGTTTAAAAGTTTCTTATATTAAATAAGTATTTTAAAAATAATTTTTTAAATACAAATAAAAATATACAGTAGCCCACAAAAGAAATGCAAGTCCATAATACAAATTAATGCTTATCATTTTAAATCATATGGTTTCATCGTAAAATTATGCAAATAGATTTTTTAAAAAGCTCTAAATTCAAGCTATTTATATATATAAATTTAAAATAAAGTTATATAGAAAATTTAAAAATTTTATTTAATTTAATGTTAAATAAAAAATTAGTAAATTTAATTATTTACTACCTTTTGTTATTTATTAATTATTATATTAAAACTATTTTAAAAAAAATATATAAATTTAAAAAAAAAATATTTACAATAATTGTATAAAAAATAATTATATATTAAAAAAATATATATATTAAAAAATATATTTTTTATATACCCTACCATCTCGTATAACCACCTTTTTGGCTTAAAACATCATTGATTCGCTCTGGTATAGAATTTAATAATTTAATACAAACATTCGTTTCGATATTATTTCATGTTGTTTGAATCATTTCCCAAAGCTCATTCTTATTTTTAATAGGCTTATCAATATTTCTTAATTGTCGTTTCATTTCACTTCATAAGTGTTCAATCAGATTTAAATCTGGTGATTGAGCAGGCCAATCTAATACGATAATATTTTTACTTTCTAACCATCTTTTAGTTATTCGTGCCTTATGTTTTGGATCGTTATCTTGTTGAAAGATAACATTTTCTATACTTAAATCATAATATGTTAAAGTTCTAAGAAATCTTCATTTAAAATTTTACAATAAAGTTCTGCGTTTAAGCCACCATTGATTCTACACAAATTTCTGATTCCTTGAGACGTAAAGCAACCTCATACAAATATTCCTTCACCATCGAACTTTACTGTACCTAAGACATGCTGATCCTTTAGTGCCTCTCCACATCTTTTAACTATCTCTGATTACAACTTTTATAAAAAGAAAATTAAATTTTTTTTTTGTTTTATTGATTAGGGAGATGTTGACTTTGATGATGCTGCGTCATTTGCTACATCTGAACACGAACGTCCGAGTGACAATTTAGGTTTCGAAGAGAAGGAATTGGAAAGTTAATAATTAAGCTTATGAAAATAATTATATAATAGCAATTTGTATTTTTTTTTTTTTGAATAATAATTTTAATTTGAAAATTATTTGGGTTTTATTTATTATTTTAACTATTATTTTATTTATTTATATGAATTTTTGGGATCATAATTACATTTATGTATTATAATGAGATACATATTAGAGACAAAAAAAAAAAGAAGAAAAAAAATCCAAAATAAAGTCTAGACAATTATTATTTTGAAATATATATATAAAAAAAAAAAATTTCAATAAAAAATTTTGTAGCATTAGGTAATGATTGGTATGAACAATATTACAAGTGTCCGATTGAATAAATCTAAATATATAAATAATCCAATAATTATATTTCTAAAAAACATCTCTAGCAGGTTCCCTACCATTAATAGGAACGTCATTAGCATGCAAGCCCATTTGGATTGAAGAAATTTTTTCTAATAATTTTTTGAATGCATTCATAACGATATCTTCAGGTTTCATAGAACCAATTGTCTAAACAAAATAAAAATAATGAGTATTTAGATGATCATTATTAAATGTGTTACATTTGTTAAAACCAACCTCGATTTCAAAATAAAATCTATTTGGTTTTGCAGTAAAATCAAAAACTAGAAAACGAAAATTAATTCCATAAAGAAATGAGTAAATAAATCTTAAATAATCCAATAGTAAAAGGTAAATTAATTACTTTCGTCATCCAAAGGAGGAAAATCATCTGTAGCATTTTTACTTGGTGGCCTATAAAATAGGAAATGTTATAAAAATATTAAAAATAATATTATTAAATCAATGATAGTATAATGAAGTTTTGCTTAGATAACCATACCATTCCTTTTTTTCATCATCCTCTTTCCAATAATGTGTGTGTCTAAGTTTATTAAAAGGGTCATACTCAAAAGCTACTGCAGCACATGGGCTCCATTTAGCATGTTCCTTTGCCACTCCCTAGAACAAGAATATTTTGTTAACGAAATTTTAAACAATTAAGTCGAATAAAAAAAAAAAAAAAGTATATAAACCTTTTTGGCAATGCATTTAACTTTAATTTCTTGTCCTTTACGAAGTTTTGCAATTAAAATACCCACATCTTTTGGCCCCTCTGAAATCGGTGTAAAACGCGGATCGTGGCTGACAAGATCTTTGCTAGTTACATCCTTTGTTGTATCTTCTTCGGTGCATTTAACATGTAGGTTCAATTCCACACTACATTCTT